GACAAATCACTGCGCCTGGGAAAGTTGATCGACTTGTGGATTTGTGGAAAGACGCCGTTCTCTGCACTCGTCTTTTGATCCTTGGTAATACGCCAATATATCCTTCCAATTTACGGATTCAATTATGTCCATGAAGGATTTCTACATGACCGCGTTGTTTCATGTTATGTTGCACAAAGCAGTTCTTATTCAAAAGGAAGCTTAGTACATTACTTGGTGAAATGGACGCCCGGGAATGGACGACATTGCGACTGAGCGATTGCAAACGGCAGAAATGGGCAATCTGAAGCTGCAGGCTTTGGAATGAAGACAAAAATAACCAGGTAATTATTGTAATTCTGTTTATTATTGTCAAGGTACTGTTTGCTCAGTTCTGGGTTAAGCTGCTGAAAATAAAACGTAGGCATGTTACAGGTGGAAGCGAGGCTGGAGTTGAGCTTTTTTTTTATACAACCCTTCCTGCTTTCTTTTGTAAATCATGTTGTTCTTATACTGAAAAGTATTTTCAAAGCGTGATTTCCATAAGAAAAAGGAAGGATTTTTGTGTCAAAGCAAGGTCAACCTCAGGCTCACAACACCTTGTAAACCATCATGTTCATGTTTCTCTGTTTCAAATGTCACGAGCCAAACGACAGTCAAATTACTGTTGCTCTTTTGTTGTCATAAAACAGACAACTAGTGCTGAAGTGTTGCGTGACAGATGACAGTATATATACATATACTTTACCAAAAACGTAAACCAATAAATAAATTTGTAGATAAATAATCAAAATGTGTGTTCAAATAAATATAATGCATTTCATTTGGCATTCAAAGTCTCCTAGGCACAGTACCATTACTCTGCGCATCTTCAATAAGCTATAAGTTTTGAAATACAAGTTCCCAGTACAGCGTAAAAAATAACTTAGAGTGATTTGTTGTTCCCAGGAAAAATATTATTAAGTTTGCAGGGATGCTACTCCTGCCAACATAAACAGACATAATGACACAGGCATGAGATTTTTTCACCCGTGATCACCAGGATTTTTAACCCTTATCTAATCACCTCTAATTTGATTTAAAGATTTCCAAAGAGGGCCAAAAAACACCTGAAGTTATACTGAAAATTTAATTTCCTCTCACAAGAAACTGGATTTTGTATCTGACGACAAGTTGCAAAAAAGTTTTGTGTGGGTGTGCCATGGCAGTTCTGTTGTCATTAAAAATTGCCATCCTAGCTAAATAGGCCATTTCTGAGTTACCCAAAGCTTCTGTTTCAAAGCGTGACAGGCTAAGTGCAAAGCCATTGATATCAAAATGGCTCTTTATTCTCATGTCAATAAAACTCATTTTCATGAGAAAGGTTTTGCACTTAACCTTGTTTTGAAAAGTGAGAATTTTTGGAACTTGAAAGTGGCCTATTAGATTCTGTAGTATTTCGACATTAAAGTTGTCTAGCCAGCTCAGGATTGTGCTTTGCAGGTCGCTTGTTATCCAAAACAGCTGTAATTACCGTCCTCTTTTCAAGCACAGTTAGTTAAAGGTTAACCTTTTAAGTCCAACAAGCTCCGATAAGCATCTAATTTATCCTAAGAATAAGGAACATTTCTCCAAAGAAATAATTCTTTGATTGTTTTCAGCAATTTCTCTTAAAAAGTACCAGAAGATATTTATGGAGAAAGGTGACAGTGGGGAATTTGGATTTAAACTAGAGGGAAACTGAACTGAAATTTATAAAAATTAGATGAGTGTACCACGAGGAAAGCTAAACTAAATACCGAGCATGACTGACACGCTTATCACAATGATCAATGGCCATGTCAGTTGCACTAGATAAGTAATTTTCATCAAAAATAGATTAAAGAAGTATGCTATCTCAAAAATTCAAATTTGTCAAATTATGGGTTGGATTGGAATGTTTACAATTAAAGAACCAGAAGAAAAATGCCCACATGTCAAAAATCAGTACAACAATGTATGTTAGGGTAAATTAGTGGGGAGATATAATTTAGCAAGGTTATACTGTGATGACTCCATAATAATTCTCTAAATTTGACTTGGATTGTACACATTATGATCCGAGCCAGTTTTAGAAGGATTTGTATGGAATCATCAGAACATTACATTTCCTAAATCTCACCACCAATTTGCACTAACCCGACAATTTTTGGCAAGCGGGCAATTTTTATCATGTTCTCTCTGAACTTCCTATCCATTCTCACAATCGCATTAATTAATCTTTTTTTGTGACATCATCATTTCTCTAATCTGTTGAATGTTAATTTTGCACAGTGCATAGCATTAATTAACTTATAAATAAGTTTTTGCAGCCAAAATTTTCTCATATACATTTGTACTGCTGGTTCTTGTTTTCTTCTTGGAAATTTGTACATGTTACAAGTACAATTGTTATAGCTGTTGATTTTTGTTGTCTTATACCAAACAAATTAAAATTCTTAGGTTTTTAGCCAATTTAGTTGTTGTGACAGTATAGTTTTCCTTTAAATATGTGTAGATTTTCGCAAGAACAACAGCATTATTGATGTGACTGCATGAATGAAATTTGTAAAACAGAAGATTTGAGTGGTCTGCTGGGTAAAGTTAATACATTACCTGGAGAAATTGTTATTTAGTAGGATAAAATACTCCCAATTAAATATCTCTGAGATCAGTTAAAACACTACCATTTATACATGCATTTGCAGAGCATTTAACAACCTAAATAAATAGATGAGAAAACATTGTTCTAGACTGCAAAAAATTAATATAACTAATGTGACTGCATGAATGTACCTTGACAGATAAAAACTGCTAATGATTATTAATAATCACAATTTAGTCCCAGCTTTTGCCTTGTTTGTCGTCCAGCCTGAATTTCATTCTCTGAAGACCTGTTTTTGGTGACTCACTACTACAGTCAATTCTTTTCCCACATACACTGTAGAACACTGTGGTGTATGTAAAGTAATAATTAAGTGTAATATGTCATGTGTTATTGTGGATGTCTAATATGTTGTACAAGGCCATTCAAACTTTTGAGTCTGTGGAAAAATCAGTGCAATCTCTGATCATCTACCATGGCAGGTATTTGGTTAGGCATTTTTCTTTGGCTGGGGCTTGAGTGTGGACCGAAATTTTTCTTTCTCTCTTCCCTTTCAAATAAAATGGCCGCAGCCACTTAACAGGCTACCCATATCTTTTGTCACCCTTAGAACTTTCTTGTCAATACTACTATAATACCTAATTACAATTTCATTTCATTTTCCTTTGTACAAATAAGTTATTGTCATATCTTAAAAAGAAACCCTTTCCTTTAAAAAGTTTGTCTCTAATGGAGTGCAAATTACTCCATATTTTAATGTTTGATAAATTATGTTGCCTTGAAGGCTAAGCTTTCGAGGAATTTTTAGCAAACCTTGATCCGCAATAATTGCAGACGATGTCCAAGATTCTCCTGAGAATGTTTTCACTGTGGTATCTTTCTGTCACTTGAGCATCCTTGCATATATCCATGAAAAGCCCACAGGTTCACCATCATAATAAAGTTAAGTTAACTTTATCTGTACCTTATTGAAACCTGCCACCTTTGTGAAAGGTAGGATGTACTCTCACAAGATCCATACCTGGTCTCCAGTCCATAAGCTTCTCTGCTGATCCTCACTCAAACTATAAATGTCAGAGACCAGCTCCAAACATGGTGCCAAGTTTTTTTTTGTGGCTGTCAGCACCCTACCTCTGTGGGTGTGGCCACTATTTTCCTGTATGCACTTTCTGGCGCCAGTGTGCGATTGGTTTGTATATAGTCTCTCATTTCCTCACGTTTTGTAGAAAATATTGTTGAATAAATATCTCTGATGACCAAGCATCTCACAATCACCGTGCACTGCACAATGCAAGTCGTCTTCAGTATTGGATAAAAGCCCCACTTTCAAACTGATGGGCTGATTTTCCTCGCTACATCTCCAAATTTTGTGGCATTAAAAAAAACCNATCATAATAAAGTTAAGTTAACTTTATCTGTACCTTATTGAAACCTGCCACCTTTGTGAAAGGTAGGATGTACTCTCACAAGATCCATACCTGGTCTCCAGTCCATAAGCTTCTCTGCTGATCCTCACTCAAACTATAAATGTCAGAGACCAGCTCCAAACATGGTGCCAAGTTTTTTTTTGTGGCTGTCAGCACCCTACCTCTGTGGGTGTGGCCACTATTTTCCTGTATGCACTTTCTGGCGCCAGTGTGCGATTGGTTTGTATATAGTCTCTCATTTCCTCACGTTTTGTAGAAAATATTGTTGAATAAATATCTCTGATGACCAAGCATCTCACAATCACCGTGCACTGCACAATGCAAGTCGTCTTCAGTATTGGATAAAAGCCCCACTTTCAAACTGATGGGCTGATTTTCCTCGCTACATCTCCAAATTTTGTGGCATTAAAAAAAACCACTTGGCAGAGAGCACTTCTGGAATTCTGACCCAGTGAACTCTATTGTAGTTTGTAATAGTTATTGCTTGAATTTTGACTATTATAAACAAGTTTTTTACTATCATTTTTTCTGCAATATTCTTATCAGTTACCGGATTGCTTTTCATGATTTTTGCCAACAGTTCAGTTGTTTTTTGAACACATCTCATTCTACAACTTTCCTAGCCAGAAATAATGTTCTTCTTTATAATTTGCCTGAATTTCATTTTCTTGAAAAACTTTAAATTATGGTATGCGAACCTCTACGGTTGTTACAGTTTTCATATCTGCGATTAGCTGCACTGTCATGGATGTTGTTCGGTACTGCCACGACAGTTTCATAATCCGGCATTGTCACAATCGCCGATGTTGTTATGTTGTTGGGTTGTTTTTCGTGGTTATGTGGCTTTGAATTTGCCTTATGCTTGCCTTTTATGTCATTCATCTCCAAATGATCTGGCACAAACGCATTCTCATGTTGATGTGCAGGCTCGGAAAGTGATCTTGTTCGTTTCATGCATTTCCCTGTGTAACTATTTCGATTGTAACAGGCATTGTCGCACACTGCTGCCAATGACACTGATGATGATATTGGTGAGCCAGAGGGTGTGCAAATTGGCGAAGACTGCTTGGGAGTTCTTCTCACAGCTTCTCCTTTGTAAGAGTATTCCATTTCTACAAACTGTCGTGCCTGCAGCGTGATTTCCATAAGAAAAAGGAAGGATTTTTGTGTCAAAGCAAGGTCAACCTCAGGCTCACAACACCTTGTAAACCATCATGTTCATGTTTCTCTGTTTCAAATGTCACGAGCCAAACGACAGTCAAATCACTATTGCTATTTTGTTGTCATAAAACAGACAACTAGTGCTGAAGTGTTGCGTGACAGATGAAAGTATATATACATATACTTTACTAAAAACTTAAACCAATAAATAAATTTGTAGATAAATAATCAAAATTTGTGTTCAAATAAATATAATGCATTTCATTTGGCATTCAAAGTCTCCTAGGCACAGTACCATTACTCTGCGCATCTTCTATAAGCTATAAGTTTTGAAATACAACTTCCCAGTACAGCGTAAAAAATAACTTAGAGTGATTTGTTGTTCCCAGGAATAAAATTATTAAGTTCGCAGGGATGCTACACCTGCCAACATAAACAGACATAATGACACAGGCCTGAGATTTTTTCACCAGTGATCACCAGGATTTCTAACCCTTCTCCAATCACCTCTAATTTGGTTTAAAGATTCCCAAAGAGGGCCAAAAAACACCTGAAGTTATTCTGAAAATTTAATTTCCTCTCACAAGAAACTGGATTTTGTATCTGACGACGAGTTGCAAAAAAGTTTTGTGTGGGTGTGCCATGGCAATACTGTTGTCATTAAAAATTGCCAACCTAGCTAAATAGGCCATTTCTGAGTTGCCCAAAGCTTCTGTTTCAAAGCATGACAGGCTAAGTGCAAAGCCATTGATATCAAAATGGCTCTTTATTCTCATGTCAATAAAACTCATTTTCATGAGAAAGGTTTTGCACGTAACCTTCTTTTGAAAAGTGAGAATTTTTGGAACTTGGAAGTGGCCTATTAGATTCTATAGTATTTTGACATTGAAGTTGTCTAGCCAGCTCAGGATTGTGCTTTGCAGGTCGCTTGTTATCCTAAACAGCTGTAATTACTGTCCTCTTTTCAAGCACAGTTAGTTAAAGGTTAACCTTTTAAGTCCGACAAGCTGCGATAAGCATCTAATATATCCTAAGAATAAGGAACATTTCTCCAAAGAAATAATTCTTTGATAGTTTTCAGCAATTTCTCTTAAAAAGTACCATAAGATATTTATGGAGAAAGGTGACAGTGGGGAATTTGGCTTTTGGTATCAGAGATGAAAAGGGTATTATTTAAACTAAAGGGAAACTGGATGAAATTTATACAAATTAGATGAGTGTACCACAAGGAAAGCTAAACTAAATACCTAGCGTGACTGACATGCTTATTACAATAATCGAAGGCCATGTCAGTTGCACGAGATAAGTAATTTTGATCAAAAATAGATTAAAGAAGTATGCTATCTCAAAAATTCAAATTTGTCAAATTATGGGATGGATTGGGATGTTTACAATTAACGAACAAGAAGAAAAATGTCCACATGCCAAAAATCAGTACAACAATGTATGTTAGGGTAAATTAGTGGTGAGATATTATTTAGCAAGGTTATACTGTGATGACTCCATAAAAATTTCTCTAAATTTGACTTGGATTGTACATGTTATGATCTGAGCCAGTTTTAGAAGGATTTGTATGGAATCATCAGAACATTATGTTTCCTAAATCTCACCACCAATTTGCACTAACCCAACGATTTTTGGCAAGCGGGCAATTTTTATCATGTTCTCTCTGAACTTCCTATCCAATCTCACAATTGCATTAATTAATCTTTTTTTGTGACATCATCATTTCTCTAATCTGTTGCTTGTTAATTTTACACAGTGCATAGCATTAATTAACTTATAAATAAGTCATTGCAGCCAAAATTTTCTCATATACATTTGTACTGCTGGTTCGTGTTTTCTTTTTGGAAATTTGTACATGTTACAAGTACAATTGTTATAGCTGTTGATTTTTGTTGTTTTACACCAAACAAATTAAAATTCATAGGTTTTTAGCCAATTTCGTTGTTGTGACAGTATAGTTTTCCGTTAAATATGTGTAGATTTTCGCAAGAACAACAGCATTATTGATGTGACTGCATGAATGAAATTTGTAAAACAGAAGAATTGAGTGGTCTGCTGGGTAAAGTTAATACATTACCTGGAGAAATTGTTATTTAGTAGGATAAAATGCTCCTAATTAAATATCTTTGAGATCAGTTAAAATACTACCATTTATACATGCACTTGCAGAGCATTTAACAATCTAAATAAATAGATGAGAAAACATTGTTGTAGACAGCAAAAAATTAATATAACTAATGTGACTGCATGAATTTGTACCTTGACAGATAAAAACTGCTAATGATTATTAATAATCACACTTTAGTCCCAGCTTTTGCCTTGTTTGTCATCCAGCCTGAGTGTCATTCCCTGAAGACCTGTTTTTCACTACTCCAGTTAATTCTTTTACCACATACACTGTAGAACACTGTGGTGTATGTAAAATAATAATTAAGTGTAATATGTCATGTGTTATTGTGGATGTCTAATATGATGTACAAGGCCATTCAAACTTTTGAGTCTGTGGAAAAATCAGTGCAATCTCTGATCATCTACCATGGCAGGTATTTGATAAGGCGTTTTTCTATGGCTGGGGCTTGAGTGTGGACCGAAATTTTTCTTTCTCTCTTCCCTTTCAAATAAAATGACCGTAGCCACTTAACAGGCTACCCATGTCTTTTGTCACCCTTAGAACTTTCTTGTCAATACTACTATAATTACCTAATTACAATTTCATTTCATTTTCCTTTGTACAAATAAGTTATCATCATATCTTAAAAAGAAACCCTTTCCTTTAAAAAGTTTGTCTCTAATGGAGTGAAAATTACTCCATATTTTAATGTTTGATAAATTATGTTGCCTTGAAGGCTAAGCTTTTGAGGAATTTTGAGCAAACCTTGATCCGCAATAATTGCAGACAATGTCCATGATTCTCCTGAGAATGTTTTCACTGTGGCATCTTTCTGTTACTTGTGCATCCTTGCATATATCCATGAAAAGCCCACAGGTTCAGGATCATAAAAAAGTTAAGTTAACTTTATCTGTACCTTATTGAAACCTGCCACCTTTGTGAAAGGTAGGATGTACTCTCACAAGATCCATACCTGGTCTCCAGTCCATAAGCTTCTCTGCTGATCCTCACTCAAACTATAAATGTCAGAGACCAGCTCCAAACATGGTGCCAAGTTTTTTGTGGCTCTCAGCACCCTACCTCTGTGGGTGTGGCCACTATTTTCCTGTACGCACTTTCCGGCGCCAGTGTGCAATTGGTTTGTATTTAGTCTCTCATTTCCTCACGTTTTGTAGAAAATATTTGTTGAATAAATATCTCTGATGACCAAGCATCTCACAATCACCGTGCACTGCACAATGCAAGTNCCACCTTTGTGAAAGGTAGGATGTACTCTCACAAGATCCATACCTGGTCTCCAGTCCATAAGCTTCTCTGCTGATCCTCACTCAAACTATAAATGTCAGAGACCAGCTCCAAACATGGTGCCAAGTTTTTTGTGGCTCTCAGCACCCTACCTCTGTGGGTGTGGCCACTATTTTCCTGTACGCACTTTCCGGCGCCAGTGTGCAATTGGTTTGTATTTAGTCTCTCATTTCCTCACGTTTTGTAGAAAATATTTGTTGAATAAATATCTCTGATGACCAAGCATCTCACAATCACCGTGCACTGCACAATGCAAGTCGTCTTCAGTATTGGATAAAAGCCCCGCTTTCAAATTGATGGGCTGATTTTCCTCGCTACATCTCCAAATCTTGTGGCATTAAAAAAAACCACTTGGCAAAGAGCAATTCTGGAATTCTGACCGAGTGAACTCTATTGTAGTTTGTAATAGTTATTGCTTGAATTTTGACTATTATAAACAATTTTTTTACTATCATTTTTTCTGCAATATTCTTATCAGTTACCGGACTGCTTTTCATGATTTTTGCCAACAGTTCAGTTGTTTTTTGAACACATCTCATTTTACAACTTTCCTAGCCAGAAATAATGTTCTTCTTTATAATTTGCCTGAATTTCATTTTCTTGAAAAACTTTAAATTATGGTATGCGAACCTCTTCGGTTGTTACAATTTTCATATCTGCGATTAGCTGCACTGTCATGGATGTTGTTGGGTACTGCCACAACAGTTTCATAATCTGGCATTGTCACAATGGCCGATGTTGTTATGTTGTTTGGTTGTTTTTCGTGGTTATGTGGCTTTGAATTTGCCTTATGCTTGCCTTTTATGTCATTCATCTCCAAATGATCTGGCACAAACGCATTCTCATGCTGATGTGCAGGCTCGGAAAGTGATCTTGTTCGTTTCATGCATTTCCCTGTGTAACTATTTCGATTGTAACAGGCATTGTCGCACACTGCTGCCAATGACACTGATGACGATATTGGTGAGCCAGAGGGTGTGCAAATTGGCGAAGACTGCTTGGGAGTTCTTCTCACAGCTTCTCCTTTGTAAGAGTATTCCATTTCTACAAACTGTCGTGCCTGCAAAAAAAAAACACATTGACTCATTTTTCAACATAACATGTCAAGGCACTCAGTCAAGTTGCACAGTAGATTATACAAAATAATTGGACACTAGATCCCCTCAATAAGAGATTCCATAATTTAAGTGGTCTTTTCTGATGTCAAATTCTTTTTAAACAATTGCATTCCCCAAATAAAATCAACTCTAGGCAAACATTAGTCACAGAATTAATTTTACCTGGAGGTTTGCAAAATTAGAAGCTCTTCCTACCAAGGATGTATAAGATGATGGGCAGATCCCTTTGTAATACACTCAACAAGTGGTCTTACATACTACTGTAAGGGGGAATTTTCTGCAGCTAGCATTGCTCAAAGTTGACATTTGTAACACTGCAACAATTCTCCTACATATTTCAAGAAAAACTGCAGGGGATTTATAGAAGGCATTGATGTGTTGTGAATCTTGTCTTGCAATGGTGTCTGGCAGTGTATATATTATTTTAAGTATCACATGCACATACTGTTGCTTTCTCCAAGCACTGTAACAGATGAGTGTGTTGTTCATCAAGATAATTTTTCTCTTTATCGCTTACTGGAATCTGCGTCAACTCTAAACCAGCCCCCTGCATAGACAAAATCACGAAACAATACGTTTATTATATGTACTGCTGGTTTGCACTTGATGTCCTAGCAGCCATGTTGGTGGTTAAGAACAAAACCATTTCTATTTCTCTAGGAACTAAACTCCGTTTTCACAGGGGTTTCAAAACAAGCCAGTGACTGCTGGAGTTCTGCCGGCTGCTTGATTTTAGGTCGCTGGCTACTCAGACCCCTCTACCCTCTGGGGCCTTGCAGCCCCTCAATTGTCGCAGCTGCCTACTTTTCCAGAGTTGGCCACCTGCTTTAAGACATTTTGAATCCCCTGTTTTTCATGTAAATAAATAAATAAATAACGATTTTTAGGTAGCACATCCACATAGTGGATGTGCTACCTGATTCCTGGTCGAATTGGAATTTGGAAATGTTGGTTTTTGAGGAGAGGGGAAAACTGGAGTACCTGGAGAAAAACCTCTCGGAGCAAGGGAGAGAACCAACAACAAACTCAACCCACATACGGTGTTGATGCCGGGATTTGAACCCGGGCCACATTGGTAGGAGGCGAGTGCTCTCATCACTGTGCCACCCTTGCACCCTGTCACCCTGTGAAATAACTTCAATTGTCCCACCAACCTGCCTGCCATGTCATATGGTTGCAAACCAACTAGAAGAAAGCTCCATCCATGAAACCAGTTTTAGAAAGACCCATTTGTGGAACATTATTTTGTTATTTCTCATTGGTCCACATTTCTACTTCACAAGATTGGCAAGAACACCAATGAGGCAGCAGATTGCATCAATTTCTGTGGGTCCAATTAATGCAGTCTTTCCCTCTCTTAGCCCATAAAAGATGGACCACACCACTTTTGGGGCTTAACCCTCTTGCCCTCTGGAATAATCAGTGTTGTTTCTTTTGCACCCCTTTGTAGTATTAATATCTAAAGGAAGGATGAAAGGGACCAGGGCCTTAGCTAGGTTTTTTTAAGAGGGGGTCATTAGTGCGAGTGCCCAAGGCATGAGCCTTGTAGGGGGGTCTGAGGTTTTCTAATTGGGAGGCTCTAAAATGCTATTTTCAGCACTTGTCATGAGATATGTCTCTGAAAAATCGACCCCGAATATGAAAATGGCAAACAATTGCAAGTCACTATAATCAAAATAACTGAGTTAAAAGAAAACAAATCCATCCAAAGCCTTGATGTGTCTGGCTCAACAGGTCCAGGAGGGGGGAGGGGGCAGTTGCCCCCCCCTTGCCCCCCCACCCTCCCCTCCGCTACCTATGGCTCTGGAGAGACACAGCTTACAGGGGTCTGACCTGAAGTGAGGTCTCAGTGACCATGATTTATTATGTCCAGTTTTTTAACCCAGTCGGTAAGTGGCCCAGTGGAGAAATGCTCTATCAACCTTTTGATAGGGTGGTGGTGAAGGAATTATACAGATGTGCAACTGAGATGGTCATATCTTCATTTAGATTTGTATTTCTGCAGTTGACATTATTTGTCTCATTCCTTTCACGGGTTAAGATGAACTCAACAAATTAGCCTGCTCCCAATGTATTGGTCTTCAAAGCTCAGTTGGAGACCAGAGGTCATGGGTTAATATCCTTTTGAAGCCCTGAAATTCTTTTTTGGGTTTAATTTAAGATTGATTAAAAGGCTATTACAACTGTAATGGTCATCCATTGTGTACTATCTTCATTTAAGAACACATCACTACTAGATACCCAAGTATTGTCTTGGATAAAAGGGATCTGGGATTCAATCTATTAACTGTATAAACCTCTTTTAAGTACCAATTTATATCACCATGCATTGATATTTTTTATTGAGCTGGTTCTTACTTACCAATGGAACATTGTCTTTGTCAGGGGGTGAAACCAAAGCAGTACCAGCCATTGTCTTTGAGATTGACACTCTTGCTTTCTAAAAATGAGTTACATGATTACATAAATTATACAGTCAGTGACCAAATTAATGGTGATAGCTTAGTTGTGACTGTACATTTTGTCAGAAATAAATTACAAATTATTAAGCAATTTAAAATTCTGCGTGTATTATCATGATAGTACATTACTTGCAAAAAAAGGACTGTTTATTTCAAACATTTTAAAAATATGTTCGAAACTTTTGCTCCAATTTTGGACAAAGTTGAACACAGTGATTTATCCATAATTTTTTTATTTTTGCCAGTTAGCATGTTATTTTATATTTCTTCATCATCTTAATTTATTGCCTTGGAGTAAAATTTGTATCCTTATTTTTGCGTACAAGGTAGGAATTACAGTAAAAAATTAGAGAATCTGTGAAAATGGTATTTTCACGTCTATTCTTGTATAAAAAATGTTTCACAATGGATAAGAAAATAACACAAATATCACTTGGAGGTGCTTTTTGTCAGAGCCTAGTACTTCTAGCAATTTTATAAATTGATAATTTTAAAGTATAAGATCAGTGGCAGATCCAGACCTTTCAGATACGCGGAAGGGGAGTGTTCTCCAAAAAATTTTTTGGGGCCTCAGTTTGGTCTAAAAATAAGGGGGGCCCCCTGGATCCTGCCCCTGAAAATGGAATAGCATACCTTGTGGGCTTTTCGTTTGTCTGCTCTTTGGTTTTGTAGATATATCCTACTGAAATTTGATACAATAACTGGCACAGGAAGGGCAATCACTAGCACACCACTGAGTGAGCACAGGCTGCCAACTATTTTCCCTGGGGTTGTCTCCGGAACCATATCCCCATACCTGAAAAAAGTATAATTTATTATTTGAGATTAAGCTGAACTATAGGTTATCTGAAAACACACTGAAACTTTTATGAACACCTTGTCCACAGTACAGTGCCCATGACAGGTTGTTTAGTCATTGACAAGCTGTGGATAAAGATTAATCCCGACAAGCTTGAACTTTTTCACACAGGCTTTATTTTCACAAATGCATATATAGTTGGATCTTCAACTAGTTGCATTCATTAGTTCATCTTCATCTGTCCCGGGTATATTATGAACCAATTTTTAAGCTCCCAGTTGGCTTGCTAGCTAAATTAGTTGGGGCACTGCACCAGTATTGCAGAGGTAAGGGTTTGAATCCTAGCAGGCCTTAATTTTTCAGGCTTTCTTTTCCCAACTGTAATGGTCTTAAGTAATAACATTTATTTGTTTATAATTTCTGCAGTTCAAATATATATGAAATTCATTTATTCATTATTTCAAAGAATGACTTATAGATTGCTTGGATTTTTCATTCCTTTTTAGGAAGTTCCAGTTATTTCTTTGATCAGGATTCAAGATGAAGGAGAGCTTTTGAGGATTGCTCTCCTGAGTAACCCATCAATTTTCATTTGCCTCATCAACCTCTTGACTGCAGTTTTGCTGGGCTTCTCGATATGTTCATTGCGGCATTAACATTGGCCAGTTTGACAACTTTGTATGTACACTTAATAATCAATAGAAGTGAATAGTTTTAAATGATATGGTCAACTCTATTTTAACCCTTTTAAAGGCCAAGAGTGGCCAACATCAATTTTCTCCAAGCAATTCATAATTAAAATAAAAGGTTTTGGGAATTAATTGAATGATCACTTAGGGGAAAATGCTTTGATCTTGTAACAAATTCTCCCAACTAATTCTTAAAATGAATGTATGAAGATCAGTTCAGAGAATTTGTATGTGGACCCACGGGCTTAAAGGGGTAACAACTCCACGGACACCTGCCTGTAGAGACAGACAGTTAGAGTTGGTCCCTGACGTCATCCAGGCATTTACTTCCTCTCTTTATGAGGCTAACCTTAAATCAGGCCAAATTTTAGCAACAGCCAGTCATGAAAAAAATTAACATTTCCAGATCTCATGGAAAATTGTGATGAAGACTGAACAAGGTCAAACTCTTCTCAATTCAACGTGTCAACACAGCTCTCAGCAGAGTTGAGTGGGAATGACCCTATACGCAAATTATCAACAAATATATTGCCTTATGACGACGTTGTGTCCTTGGTTCAATTTTTTTTCTTTTGTTTTTGATATTTTGTGCGTTAATACACATGCACAATAACGAGACTGAACTAAGGAGAATAAAATTTGAACCAAGAATCAATTGAACCATAGCAAGAACTCTGAGGTAGGCATAAGTGAGTGATGATTAAGCCAAACAATTTTACAAAGGCCTATTATTTTCACTTTCACTTAGCCTTGATGATATCTAGCCTCATAATATTTATATAATTTTTACTATCTTAGAAACAAAAAAACACATTATGTAAGCATATTTATATGTTAATGCCATAACAAAGAGGTTTCGCAGGGTGAAATGAGATGAAAATACTTAATTGTTCTTGGATGAATCATTTCACAAAAGCACATCTATGTGTGACAAAGAGTGATGAAGATTAAAGTTTTTATATATCTATCAATATCATTTAATATTTGACGTGTTAGCTGACAACGCGGTATTGAATATTACAATGGCAATGCAAATGAAGGAAAAGAAAACGTTGTGAAAATCGAAAAACTGTGTAAAAATATAAAATATTCATTAAGGTATACTTTCTGTCATTGCATATGAAATGAGTTAAAACGAATCAAGAGAAAAAATAAATAGGAAGAAATGAAAAATTATCGAGCAAGCACTCAGTATAAATGATATGCAACAAGCGAGGGCTGGGAAAACAAAAGCCGACGTTTTAGAGTAATACCTTTCTCTGATCGGTGCTTAAGACCATTAATTAAGTGTTGTTGCTAATCCATTTGAACGGACAAAGTCCTTGAAGTGCTTGGCTGACTTTCATGGTAGGATGGTTTTAGGGCCTGATAATTCATTTTGAAAAATTCTAGCGGTTACAGCTAAGCTCACCGAAAAACGATTCAAATGCACCTTAGTTAAAAGCTTGGAAGTAACCGCGAAATGTCACATTTTATTGGTATACGAAGGTAACTGAGAAGCATATAGAATTTAAAAAAAATAAAACTGAAAATACCTAATAATAATAAAAAACAACTGTGAACAACATGAAAGTCGTGAACAGTTTCATTTCGTTTTTTCCTTTTAAAAGTTTAAGTAGGGCAACTAAAAAGCTGAATATTTTGAACGCACAGAAATCGATTTAGAAGCCACAGTGCGGCATAATTTTTTAAGTATCTCTGTTTCTCTGTTTTACTAAAAAACCTGTGTTTCGCTGTGAATTATACACTTCCATACATCGGGACTAAACAATTCCTTACAGCTGCGCGCTAAATGTTCTTGCTGTAAATAAATTTCCTCGACTTCCTTGTTAATGCAATTCTGCTGCGACTGGTTCTTGTTTTCAATAACATCTATTTTTGCATAAATTTCTTGTTACATCTAGTTGCAAGAATCTATCGATTCATAGTGGCCCAAAGTCCACCTACAGAAAATGAAATGAATTTGGCAAACACGCGACTTAAAGAAGTTCCTCTAGAAAATTAAAGCAATCGGGCGAAAAGATGTGCAAAATTATAGTCCTTGTTGTCGAGGTGATGCGTCTATCATAACGGTATACATAAAATTTAAACCCAATTGTCACGTTTTCGGCGCGTGGAGGAAGTTCTCCGAAATTTCATCAGAAATCTTAGCGGATCAGTTTCAAAAGCACCGAAAGACATTATCGCCGTTTTAGAACCGTAATTCATTAAGCTCTTATCTCAAAACCTATCGAACAAATACCACAAATAAACCAAGCTAATACACTGTTAGTAGATTTCATTCGAAGCGAGCCGATCAGACGTTCTTAAAAGAAGAAAAAAATAAAGTTGAAGAACGTACTTAAAACGCAAATGGTGCCCGCGCTTTTGTAATACAATACACCAGCTTTAAAGCATGTCATTCAACTATTAATTTTTTAACACAGGAAATTTTAAATTCGTCTTTTGCCATAGTATTTACCGTGTCTTAGCTTCGATGAACGAATGAAAAAAAAAATAAACGTAGTTTGAGTCTGTTTTTTAGTTCGAACCGTAACGTGCATAAACTGTACAGAACATTTTCTGTTCAAGTTTTCATTATATGAGGATGTTGGAAAACAACAAGACGTAAATATATGCATTTTGCTTCAAAACATTATGTTTTGCATGCAAATTAAGCCTTGTCTGTTCTTGCGTTTAAAAATATTATCTCTACGAAAGTGAGTTGCCCGTGAATTGTAACTTTTTTACGCTAAGTGTAATAATTTTATCCATGGTAGACTGAGTTGTATGCGTCGATTAATGTAAGCTACCCGAGAAACAAATGTATTTCGTCTAGACCTCTAAATTAGAAGGAAAAACAGACAAAGTTAGTTTCATTTTGGTAGACAACGCAGTAAAGAATGACATGGGCAGATTCAGATAATTTGCACAAGGACTTAATGTCTGTAGACAAATGTAAACACAAAGCTAGCCGCCGAGTTTATATACGTTTAGTCATGTGTAGTTCATTGAGAAAAAATTTTAACTTACCCTAATGTAGTCATTGTGACGATGGTGTACCAGAAACTTGCAGGAATACTTTCGAATTTTGTGTCGGGTTCTCCTTTTTCCACGTAATACATGACAGTAGCGAATATGATGACTGCCATAGACAGAGAAAATAGCAGGAAGCCAAGTTCAGAGGCACAGCTCTTGAGCGTGTATCCCAAGATTCGAAGTCCTCGCGAATGTCTGGAAAATTTGAAAATTCTGAAGATCCTAAATACTCTAAGAGTCACAAAAGCTCCACTTATCGAATTGTCAGGCATAAATAGACCAACATAGAATGGTAGTATAGCAACAACGTCGATAATGCTCATCAGATCTCGAGCAAATTTACATCGATCAGGCGCGGCGTATAAGCGGGCTAAATATTCAATGGTAAAAACTACAACACAGGCTGTTTCAAGCCCAAAGAAAATACTTTTATTGACTTCTCCAATGTTTCCACCATCCGCGGGTAGAGTTTCAACTACCGTGCTAATGACGCTCACAGCTATGAAAAAGCCCGTGATGTAATAAGCCAAAGAAGCCAGGGGACCGCTTTGTGGATTTTGAAAAGCAGTCCACATCTTCTCTCGGAAAGTCGAGTCAGTGTTCTCGTCTCCATTCTGTGATCCACCGTCTTCCAGTTTATCAGGCTCAAAAATTCTCTCTTCGCATTCTTTCTTTCTCTCTCGAAAATCTTCCCAGCAACAATCGTACACAACATCTTCGGAAATGCCGAAGAAACAGAGTTCGTCCTCGAAAGACTGCACGCACTCTCCTCGCGGGTAATGCAGTTTTCCATTGCGATAATAATTCAAAACATGCCGGAAAAGGTCGGGATCTCGATCAAAAAAGTATTCCTTTGTTTCCGAATCGAAAAAATAGTCTTTTTCGTCACTGCCTAGGAGAGTTTCCGGGAAACGGGACAATGTGTTTTGCCAAGTTTCAAATCGGCGTCCGCTAACGTTAATGGTGACTCGTTCGTCGTTTTTCTGTGTCTCTGGCGGCGGCGGCATCGGAGATGTAGCCAGAGGGACCCATCCTACGGCAGCCGCTCTTGCAAACGGCAACCACGCGCCTACATCCGTAGCCATGAGGAATTCGGAACGCCTCACATAGATAGAACAGATCCAAGTTCACATGCAAGTGGAGCATCTACTTCGGGCCGACAAGCGGCAGGTGAAAAACGGATGTCGCTTTACTGACAAACAACCACCTTAATTTATGCCAACGCTTGCATGGCCGTCGATGGAGCTATTTGCAACATTTGCTTCGAAAGAGGCAGCTATTCAGGCTATTATCGGCCCGTGAAGCGTGTCGATCCGAGCACGTTGCTCGAGAGTAATTTCGATCAAACGTTCGATCGAAACGTGGAAACAAATTGCTTTTCAAATCAATCAAATGTTTTGCTCGCGGGGCTCAAATTGGAACGGGTTGTGAGAAGCCAAAAGCGTGAAATTACGTTAATCCGGGTATTGTCTTTTCAAAAACGAAACACTAGGTTCCTTAAATGGACGCAGCTTTAAGGCTAGCAGCCATTGTGCTCTCTCACCAGCTAGCCGTAACAAAGAAAGCAAAAACTGCTTAACAGGACGTTTTCACCAGGCGCTGGATTTGATGTTATTTTAAATTCTTGTTACGCGACTTGGGTAAGACTTGGCTAATTGCAAAGGATATTGTTAATTAGCATTGGATTAAACAAATTTAAAGTCCGCAACCAATGAATTTCAAGGAAGACCACTGCGTGTTTGATTGTTTATGAAAAACTGACAGGGTTTCTATTGTGCACCTGTCAAATATTCGCGCCAAATTTGCAATCGAACAAAACGGTTTAAAGAGTGAAAAAGATTCTACTTCATATTTTTGGGCATAAAGTATCTTTTCTCCGAAAAATGAAAAAAAAATTGTTCTCGGTCATTTTAAATTATAGAAAAATGAACGTAATCGAAATTTCTGCGAACAATTTGCGAATTAGCAAGACCTTTCGTGGTTTTGGCTGGATTTTGTCTTCTACTGCAATCCAGGCTTAACAGTGCTAAATAAATAATGGCAAAACATTTCGTCGAAACCAAATAGAATATATATATTTGAAAAAATAATTCCATGGGAGAATCCTCCCTTTTGTCTTTTTGTATCGGTCGCTAATCAATGGGAGTAAATTCGCCTGAATTCAATTACCGGAGATTCATCGTGTGGAAATTTGAAAAGGAAGTTGAAGTTGAAGCCCCTATAAAAATTTTATTTTAGTGGTATTTTTTTATGAATAGCTTATTCATCTTTTACGTTTTCTGTTTTAGTACAAAGAGTCCAGTCCGGTGAATTTTGATGGTTATTCTTTTTAATCCTTTCTTCGCTTGAGGTATTTAGCAAAACTGCCCTTTTTTGTTAGATGAAAAAGGACAACTTGTTTACTGATTTTTATAACGGTTTGCATGTAAATAGCTTCTGATGAAGTGTTTAGCATTCCGCATGATTTGAGGGAAGTTATATACAGCGAACGTTTGGTTTTTATACAAAACCAACAATAATATTTAGCATCTCGGCGAAGCTCAGTTGAAGTTAGATAAAAAAAATAAAAATAAAATAAAATGAAGAATAACAAAATAACTCAAACTTGTGAAGTCATGTTAATAAATTTGAAATTTGCTTGTCAAACATTTGAGAGATCTGATTTTTTTTTACTATTCTCAAGCGTTAATCGTGAAAATGACACGTGTGATATTTCAATTTAGTATGTTAAAAGATGCATTTTGATGGCTCTTAAAAGTCATTTAACGTCTTAAGCGTTGTTGTCAATTCCAAGATAATACAGAATCGGCAAATACAAAAGAAGAGATTACCGTCCTTTTTCGCAACTTGAAGATTTTCTTGTATGTTTGTTTTGTCTCGTTTTTTGTCATAATAAGTCCGTTGTCTTTTCAGTATTTTATCAGCCAAAATTTTGACTTAAGATGGTAATTAGTACCTCATGTATAACGTACAAATTAAAGTCTCCACCACATTCATTATGGTATAATTTGCTTTCAAAGTTTTGCTGCGTAGAAAGAAACATGTGGTTCTCCGCAACGGCTTGAAATTGATACGTTTGTTTTGCGGGCGAAACCCGTTATCATATAATCACTATAGAGGCCAATAATATGAGAATTTTTTTTAAAAAAAAACAAGTTTATTTATTCCATCGTGTGGCTGTTGAAGTTTTATTTTTCAAACACGTGCGTCCTTAAGTGTTAATTAATGTGTATTGCAACATATTACGGAACTAAATATGTCACCGCGAAGAAAAATTTTATCTCGTAGCTTGCGGGCAATCACGTAGAGACAATTTCTCCTGCTGTTAATGACGACTTGACAGTGACAAAAATAAATATCAAAAAGAAAAACAACAAAAAACGCACTTTATACGCTCATTTTTGAATACTTAACTTTCGACTAGCTTATGCACATATGAGCGTCTGCTAAAAATTGTCATATTGAATATCTACCTTGAATCAAAACGTCATGAACAGTGAAATTTCCTCTGAATAAAGCTCTTACGTTTCTCTCTATAATCTCAGAGTTGCAAGTTCTAAACTGAAATATTTCTTTCTTTTAATTTGAGAATACGGTCCGTGAGACGTGACCGACTATGATAGGTACCTGTGAAGAATCCCGTTACATTCCGTTCAGATGGGGGGGGGGGGGGGGGGGGGGGCTGCGGCGCGGGGGAATTGGGGGGGTAAGAAAAAAAGGGTTTTTGGCAAGAGGAGTCAGCCGGGGAGAGGGGATGTTCCCTTTCATATGCACTTTTGTCGTGATAGTTAGTCTGGCTAATTGCTTAGTTTCTTTACTCTTATAGAGACGATTTGACTGAAAATTTGGGCAAAACCATCGCCCAAAAATGAAAAAGGGCAACTTCCGGTTGACGTGCGTCGCTCAAAAACGTCGTTGCTTAAGCTCCCTAGTGGTGGGGTGGGCGCCGGTCTCAAAAAAAAATTTTGCTTATTTTTGAACGTTTGACAAGGTGCTGAGAATAGGTTTTTATTCATTATGCTAGCACATTTAGAAGATTATCTATCGATTTATTAAAACCATTAACTAAGAACTTTTAGTAAAATCCAGCTAGTGGTCTATTTTCAATGCTGCGTTCTGATTGGTTGAGCTACTACTAGGCTATATGTCATAGCCCTCTAGTAGCGAAAACCGCGGGCTTTTTGGCGGCAAAAAAGACTTAAAGTCTAGCTGTTAACTAGCTAAAAATTTTTCATTCTCGATATTTTTGACCAACTAGTTGGATTTTACTAAAACAATTATTCCTCGAGCCATTCGGGTTCGAGGAATAATTGTTAAGTATACGTTGTTGTTATACCACTTACACGTTTTTGCCAATAAGCGTTAAAACTAATAAATAAGCCTCTGTATTTTTAGCATAACGAAGCATTTTTATGAATGACTTTTGGGGGAGACCGAGCATTTTAGTAAAAAAATGGAGCAATATGGTGAAGCATTTACTGGGGAACAGATAAAAGCATAAAGTAGGAAATCCTTGCTAAGAAGCCTTACCTTTTATCATTTTCTGTAAATTATTACTGGGCCGGTGAAATAACCACTATGATCAGTAGCCTCTCCTCAATTGCGGAGATTCGTTTTATATTAATTCGTGATTTTGGACAGTCACTATCCACAGAATTCGTAGAAAAAGCTTCAAATGACTCAAAAATTCAACAAAACGGGTCGCCATAACTCAAATTACAACTGCTTGGATCGTAAGTAGCCGTTTTATGATATTTGAAAAATCTTTACGTAAAGACGTAGCTTTGAGCGGTTTTTTCTCAATTTTAAAAAAATCCTTTTTCACTTTTTTCAGTGACTAAAGAAACGTCTCAAGAGAAGTGTTGAAATACATTTTAGCAATTTTGCTGAACTATAAATTGACGCCCATTAAGGAACTTGGTGAAGAGAATGAATTGGCTCGTTCATTGTACGCAGTTGAAAAGAAAAATTGTATTTATTCTTTGTTTTCTATTAATTTAAATGCCTCTGTACACACAGTTAGGACAAGACGCTGTAGTGACATTCATATCCCGAAAGTCAACTTAGAGTTCGCCAAGAGATCTTTTTATTTTACCGTTGTGATAAAATTCAATGGTCTTCCTCAGCATATTAAATTAAAAGGAAACCTTTACTCATCAGAGGGACACCAACATGGCGCTTTCATAAAGCTCTATAAATTTAGGTAAAACATTTCTCCAAATATCTCGCATACGAAAAATTGCACCGACCTGAAACTTGGCGAAGTTCTTTGTCTAATGATTTACCTTTTTTTATTTCCCAGATTCTGGACTTAATTTAATCTATGACATCTATTTGAGGGCTTTAATTTTTTTTCGATGGCGTGACAGTGAAAACCAGTAACTGTGATGGGTGTGCAAATACTGTACGTGAATTTCTATCACCCAAGTGTTTCATGTTTTCAATGAAAGTGTTAAACCTAACTGACAAGATGTTGATTTTTTTTTTCAAAAAATGCACTGGCCAGGTTCGAACATCTATTTCTTAAAAGCCATATGACCAACCGAACTTTAAGAATTTTCCCGAAATTAATCTAGTAACATTTGTATTGATAGTGGTGACAGATTTGTGTTCAAGACATGATAGTTCCACATAGAATCATTTTTTGATAGGTGTCTTCGACCAATTTTGTTCATTTTCATCAATAAAGACAATTTTTAATTTTGATAAACTTTGCCCCTAGTTTGACAACCTCGTTCCCAGGGTTCTAGGATGATAAAATGTCTCAACTGTCGTTCCCAAATTAAATTGCTTCTTTATCCTTTTTTCTCCTGAGATCAGTTGAGTAATTTGCCCTCGGAAAACGCCGAAGCGGAAACAAAAAGTTTCTCCTTGAAATTTTAGAAACGTTCTCAGTATTTTCCAGTGGTGTCGATTACTATTGCCATGCAAGGTTTTGTTTCTGTGGATGAAAACCTAACGTGAATCCTAATTCAAATAAAAGCTACCGAGCAGTACTTTCCTGTGGTACAGTTTATTATGCTATAAAAGGTGGTTCTAACTTAAATTTGAGTCTCCCGAAGAAATCCTGAAGTGTGACCATTCAAATGAAAGCTACTGAGTAGTACTTTCCTGTGGTACCGTTTATTACACTGTACATGTACAGGGTGGTTCTAACTTTTGAGTCTGTGGATGAACTCCTAAAGTGTTACCATTCAAATAAAAGCTACTGAGCAGTACTTTCTTGTGGTACTGTTTATTATGCTGTACAAGGTGGTTCTAACTTTTGAGTCTGTGGATGAAATCCCGAAGTTGATCATTCAAATAAAAGTTCCTGAACGTCACTTTTCTGTGGTTCTTTTTATTACGTTCGCTGTACGAGTTGGTTGTGGTGAAAATCCCAAAGTGTGGCCATTCAAATGAAAGCTATTCTGAGAAGGACTTTCTTGTGGTACCTTTTGGTGGGTTTATCTTTTGAGCCTGGGGACAAAAC